TTTTTTTTTTTTTTTTTTTAGTTTTCCTGCAAGTTTAGGAGAAATCAGGAAATGTGAAGGAAGACAGAGACAGAAGCTGTTCACCACGGCTACTAAAAGAAAGGGTGGTGGTTTGTCAGTGCTTGCTCAGAGATGCTGTGGGGATGCAAGAACCTGCTCTGGAGAAGCAGGGTGAGGTGGGGAAGAGAAACGAGGCAGAACAGACCCCTAAAGTGCAGGTGCTTAATGTTGCCAACATGGGCAGGTTGGGAAGTTGGGTCTTCCTTGGTCAGGCTTCAGCTTGACTGGAAGACTAGAAAGAAGTTGAAACCCCAGACTCTGCTTCCCTTGGAAAGGATCAGGAGCATTTTAGGTGTTGCAAGGACATCCAGCTGCCTCCAAAGGAACCTGTCCCTGGAGAGATGACAGTAGGGAAGCCCCAAAGAGGAGAAACCACCTCCAAGAAGACAGCTCAAAGCCTCCCTGGAAACCAAGATGTTCCTCCCTAGCAGTGACTGCCCAAAGTGGGCTCTCAGTGAAAAGAGATTGTATCTACCCCAGCACCTCACCCGTCATCCCCGGCAAACCCCACCACACCCCCTGTCCCAGATCTTTCTCCAGCAGCAGCTGCTGGAGCAGCTTCACCCCCACAGCCCACCCGAGGCCCACAGCTATCGGCAGCTCCAAAACCAGGCTGAAATGACACCTGCACTACAGCCCCCATGCAGAGCCCTGCCGTGACCTCGTCCTTCCTCATCCATCTCGTACCAATCCCCAAAAATACTCCTGACACCCAGAGAGCCTGTGCATCAGGAGGTGGATAAGACACTCACCATGGCTGGCTTCAGAGCCAGCTCTGGAGAGGGAGAGAGAGAACTATGAAAGAGTTCAGTCCTTCCTTTAAAAATGAAAAAAACTTCAGCACTACACAACTGCAGGAAAAAAAAAAAACAGATCTGTAAAAACACCCACACTCTACCTTAAAAGCTAATCCTCTCCCTGCATGGATTTCCCTGCTTTGGGGCCATCTCCTGCAAGCCAATGCAGCTCCACAGTCAAACACCACAGGTCCGCCAAGGGCATGGGGACGTACATTTGCACCCGTGGAGAACCTGTGTGATTTGCCCCCAAAAAGGCATCTCCTACACACATCGCCAGCAAGCAACTATCACACCGCTGGCACACACTGAAACACCTCTCAGGGCCTGTTCATGCCCCAACAGTTTGGATTTCTACCCCTCCATCCAGTGGGAAAATATTTTTGCAGTCTGCAAGGATGTGGCTGCGTTTTGCGCAGCAGCCGTCCCTACCTCAACAGAGAGCAAAGCATTCAAAACCACAGAAAAGGCAAAATACACACTCAGAATTTACATGGAGAAAACATTTCCTTTTTTTTTTTTTCTTTTTTTTTCCCTTTTTTTTTATGTCCAAAACAAGCGGGTTTTTGTTCATGTCTTTGTTTTTCAACACACGCACCGTCTAGAAAGTTAAACGCCATGCAGATGAAGAGAGTGCAGCTAGAAAGTCCCCCGGGGCAGCAGCGCTGCAGGAGTCTCACATCAACGAGCAAAGAGGTTCCAGTAGGAAAAAAGAGAACAAGAAATGGAAGAATTGCCAGAAAAACACCCACCCTCGGACCTCTACCTGACGGCAAAGAGGTGAGACCAAAATTCCCCTTCCCGGCCATGTCTTCTGTCCTGAAAGCCACGTCCCGGTGGCTCCCCAAGAGCCGCCGCCTGGGTTTGCCCTGCAGGAAGATCCATGGGGTGCAGGAAGGTGCCCCGGGGAAGGGGGTGCCCCTGGAGGTGGAGCCCCGGGGACGTGGATGTCTTCGCCCGCCCAGTGCTGTGGGACGGGATGGGACGAGCCGCCGCGGCGTGGGGTGGGGTCTGGCAGCTGCAGGACCCGTGGTAGGAGCATCGTGGCGGCGCAACCCCTCACCAAGTGTAAACGCAACGAAAAACAGCAACCCCCGAAAATCCCCCCACCCTCCCTGCCCTAAACAGTTGACTGTTTCTAGTTATTACATAAAGATCCATTTCAGCAAATACTCAAAATCAAGTTACGAAATACACGGTAGGTTGTTTTCTTTTCCCTATAAAAAGGCATGCGCGCAAAGTAGAAGACAGCTAAAGGCTTGTTTGTTTTCTTCGAAGCATGATCAGATTCTGCAGAGTTTTGTTACTTTATAAAGCTTGCATTCCTCATCGTCGCTGGAAGGAGTCGTGTGGGCGATGGAGGTTTGCGCCCCGAATTGGTGGCCAGCTTGGTCGACCCCGTCCCAGCCTGGGAGCCGGGCGTGGGGGGAGCGCCGGGTGCTGCATTGGAGGGGCAGGGGTGGGTGCTTCGGCGGGCTGGGTGCTTACTTTATAAAGCTTGCATTCCTCATCGTCGCTGGAAGGAGTCGTGTGGGCGATGGAGGTTTGCGCCCCGAATTGGTGGCCAGCTTGGTCGACCCCGTCCCAGCCTGGGAGCCGGGCGTGGGGGGAGCGCCGGGTGCTGCATTGGAGGGGCAGGGGTGGGTGGTTCGGCGGGGCTGGGTGCTGGAGTAAAGGATCCAGGCTGGGTGGTGGGTGGGGAGGAGGGCGCAGGAGTGATGCTACCGCCATGGCATGGCTGGGAGAGCCCCGGCTCCCGGCTGTGCCGACACGGTGCTGGGAAGCAGTTGCCTTTCTCCTCCTCTCTTCTCCCAGCTTCGCCGGTCCCTGCTCCGAGGGGAGAAGGGAGGAAGGAGGGAGAGCATCCCTCTCAGCACGGCAGCCGCTCGGAGCCAGGGCACAAGCCTACTCGCCCTCCTGGGAAGGAGCCAGCCTACAATCCTGGGAAGGGAAAATAAACAGATAGCCTTTACTCACCCGTCCAAACACTGCCCTCCTCGCCCAGGGGCGCGCGGAAGCTGGACTTTGCAAAGGGTTTAAACTGCGGTTCCCCGGCTGAGGCTGCCGGGAAGTGGGAGCTCGGGTCAGGAGCCATGGTGGCAGATGGGGACCTCCATAGCAGCAAAGCAAAATCCACCGGTGCACAGGGAGGGTGCGGCACAGAGCAGCTCAAAACTGCCTCCCTGCCCTCCTCTTCCTTGGGGGGCTCCCAGCAGAGGTTGGGATGGAGGCGGATGACGAGTCCGAGACCAATTCAGGAGACGTGCCAGGTGGTGGGGGGTCCCAGCAACTCCATGCAGCCGAGGAGGGAGGCCTTTACCCCGGCACGCATCATCTCGCCGGCCAGATGCTCGGGTTTAGGTTCATGGTTTCTCTTTTCTTGGTTCATGCAGAGGAAGGGGGCCCAGTGCCCCGGCCCCGGTGGGGTAGGGGGGTTCGATGGGATGCTTGCGCGGCACCGGCAGGGCCGTTGCGTGTGTGCGGTGAGAAGCGAGGGGTTATTCCAGCAGGAACCAAGCAGCAGAGCCAACAGCCAAAGTCCCGTAGGTGAAGATGTCGGAGGAGGTCTCCACTTGGTAGTCAGTCAGTGACAAACCCCACACGGGCAGGACCGCGCTTCAGCTGCAAAACACAAACCAGGCAGAGTTTTCTTTGACCATCGCTTTGGCAGAGCATCCCTCTCCCCACCGCCATCTCATGGCCGTCGGCCACCTCCTCCCCACTGCAGATCCTCAGGGCAGGATCCCACCCGCTTCGCAGCCTCAACGCCACAAGGAGCCCACACCGTCCCCTCCACGCCCCCCTGTGCCCCATCCCCGGAGCCTCACAGGGCTTACTGCGGTAGGACGGAGGGGGCGCCGGATCTGTGGAAGTGGACGATTTGCCATTTGCCATCCCGGCGGTGCCAGATGCGGCTCTCCTCGGACTGGGCGGTGCGAGGGATCCCTCCCGCGTCCACGTACTGCGTGATGCGGATGTAGGCAATGCAGGCGGACTCGTCTCCCATCAGGTGGATGTGGGGGTTCAGGATCGTCGTGTGCACGGGCTTGCTGTTCCGGGACCACACTGGAGAGGGGACAAATACAGGCAGCTTTAGGCAGGGGGAGGAGTTTGGGTGGCTCTTGCCCAAGGCGGCAGCAATGTGGGAAGGGGAGATGCTTGAGTTAAGCTCTCTGCTTGGAGGGGCTGAGTAAATGCTGCACGGGTGGGTTCAGGATGGGTCCACGTAGAAAACAGCTAACCAAACAACTCCTCTGCATACAGCCCGGTCCCAGTTGACCTAGCAGGCTTGATTCACCTCCTGCTGGGATCTTCCAGATCAGCCAGAGGTGCTCCCAAAGCCACCCTTACCCTCCTCTCTCCAGCAAGCTGATGGAGGTCGAGACACAGCTGGGCCCATGGGAGGTGGGAAGGGTCCCTCAGGAGGCAAGGGGGCTGCTTACGGTTTTCGAAGTAGAATCGGTGGAAATCCAGGCCTTCCACGAGGTTGCCCAGAGCCTCGGGCTCGAAGGCAGTCATCCCAGGGTCACACATCTTCCTGGGGAGGCGGGAAGGGGAGAGAAAAGGGAGAGGTAATCTCACTGCTTCTGGCGTGAGAGCCTGCAAAACCCAAACGGCTCGTGCTCAGGATGACTCCCCCTCAGTCTGAGACCAAGGAGCCTCTGCACCAGTGAGCAATTCAAGCAGAAGTCTGGCCTCTTCCCTGCACTCTGCGTGAAGCCCACCCCACCCCACCTCCAGCCCACCGACTGCAGCCAGGACCCCAGCGAGGCAGGGTGAATTCTCCATTGGTCACCATCTCCAATTAAACCTCCCAAAACACTGCCGTCTTCTTTGTAAGAAAGAAAAACAGCAGGGAAAAACTCATATTCTCTGCTCTGTATCAAAATACCCCTGCTGCGATTCTCTGAGGCAGGGATGAAGACCTGCACTCTCTCAGAAATCACTAATTAAATAGGCCTTGGACACAGAAGAAGTGTACTCTGAGGAGCATCAGCTCAGCGAGTAGAAAGCAGTTACGCTTCCAAGCAGCCTGTGGCAATCTGGGTATAATGGATACCATGGATGCAATGTTCCTTCTTCCACCATAAATCACGTTTACAGTTATTTGTCTTTCTGCAAACCAGAAAATGGGCTCATCCATGACAATGACACCAGAGAGATGTGGTCAGCTTAGTGTGAAAGAAGCACCAGGTTTGGAAAATTATGTCCCCTGCTTCTCTTGGACGGTCTCCATGCCCCACCACCACGTCAACCTGGTCACCCTGCCCTGGGCAGCAGTAAAACCTCCTGGGCTGTGGTGTCACGGTGAGAGCACCCGCTCCGGGAGGCTGAGCCCCCGGCCTGGCCCAAACCCACGCTGGGCACACTCACGTGTAGGACTCAAAGTCGCCGTTGCTTATTGCTTCGATCAGCTGCTCTGTGACTTTAATGATTTCTTGCTTCCGTACTGTTGGTTTACAGAGAAAAAGAAAATAAAAGGAGAAAACAAACCAAAAGTGCTGGCGTTGCAATATGGGTGAGGTATCTTCTTCTCATTAGAAACAGACGACAGGACATTGGGGGCCATTGGAAACTGTCCAGGGGAAAAGCAGGAGAGGGACTTGGGAGAGAGATGTGGGGAAGGGCTCTTCATCCCTGGAGAGGAAAGACCTCCAAAGTCAGGGCAAAACTGAAACCCCCTGTATTTTCCTAAAGAGCAAAAGGGTTAATCACTGAGTGGTGAGCTGCTCCTGGCCCAAAAAGGTGGCACAGGCTGGTCTTGGCTGCAAAGCCTTGCCAAGCCAGGACTTTCTACCCCGTGAACTTGGAGCAGGGGCCAGCCAGGGCAGGCTGGACCAAGGATGCTCTCACCTCCCTCTGAGACAAGAGGAGAGGGTCTCAGCTGGGTGGGAGGATGGGTGGGTGATGTGGCCATCCACCCCGAGAGACACAAGGAGGGACCCCGTGAAGGGCACGGCACCATGCAGCTGCTGCTGGGGACCCCAGGCGCTGCTGGCTCAGCTGGGAAGGGACCAGGCTGCGAGAGCGGGTTTGGCTCCCCGGCATGCAGGAGGAGCTGCCAGAGGTAACCCTGGGCTTATTAACGAGGCTCTGCTTCAAATGCAAATCGGCGTCATGCTTGACTTAATTTTTTTTTTGTACCGTGGCTAATGAAAGGAGAGGGAGCTCGTTCAGAAAGGAGGAGAGGGACCTCCATCACTTCCCAAGCGCCACCTGCCTCTGTGTCTGCTCCGGGGAGCTGTTCCCCAGGAGGACAAACGTCCCATTAACTCTTATGTCAGGCCAAAGTCCATCTTGCTTTGTGCTGGGATCGCTTCATTGAGAGACTTTACAAATTAGCACCGACAAATTATTCCCTGGGTTATTCTTAGAAAGCTGGCCCTGGCAGGTGGGAGACGGGGATTTCCCCTGGAGGCTTTTCCCAAAGTGCCATTTATTTTGGAGGAGCGGGTGGCCAGGCTGCTGTCCCTGCAGATTTCTGCCATTTCCATGCCTGCTTGCAGGGAACATCCCTGGTTTTGGGACCCCCCCTACTCGCCAGCAGTGCCCCAACTGCTCGTGGTGGTGACTCAGCAGTGAAGCCACCTGTGGCATTTCATCCCTAAGGAATGAAAGCCACTTCTGAAGGGCCCCGAGGCAGCTCGATGGTCGTGGGTTTTGCTGTAGCCAATATCTCATTAGGGTGGCCAGACTAATGACCTCGGGGCACCCCTCCAAAACAGCCTGCCCACCCTCCCGGGTACCCCCACCGGTACCTTTGGTGTCTTCGTCCTCAATGGTGGTGTTGGTGCTCTCCGATGATTCCTGAGCAAAGAACAGAAAGGAGAGACGGGACGGTGAGAGGGGTCTTCATCCCGTGCCAGGCAGAGCTCGTGTGTTTGACAGCCCCCCGAGTCCGACCCCACAGCGCTCGACTGTGCCAACGGACAGAAACCAAGGAAAACGCCAGCAGGTCCAACCCGTCCTCAACCACAGCTCTAGGGCAGCGCTGGCAGAGCCCTCCCTGACCCTCCACTCCTTGTAGCCAAGGGCACAAGAGCTGGGCTGTGGAGGGTCTCGTAGGAACGGCGCTGCCTTTCCTACCGACGCCTGTGGGGACAGAGACAGGGGCAGGTCCGGGGTGGGTTGGTGGGTTCCTAGGAGCGTTGCCGGAGGGGCAGGGAGAGGGGCTGTGCAGGGGTGGAAGACACCATGTTGACTGTACGATAAAGAGAGAGATGTACAAATTAACAGCGAGGAGGAGCTGGGATGAGAAAGAGGGGACTGTGCAGGAGTGAGAGAGACCACACTGACCGCAGAGTAGGGAGAGAAATGTACAATAAAACAGAGTGCTTCCAAGACCCACATGGACCACCGAAGGCTGAGACACAGCTCTTTCAAGAAACAGCTGAGCACTACACAGATTTGGGGGGGAGGGGGGTACTGACCCCCCGTCTCTCTCCAGGAGCCCCATCAAGGCGACTCTGCTAGCGGAGCTAGAGCAATAGCTCTGCTAGCTCTTCCCAGCAGAGCCTTGCTTATGTATTACCCATAATACCCCGATGTAGGTTGGCAAGGTGTCCCATGACCATACAGTCCCCGCAGAGGCATGGAAGGTGTTTCTCCAAGGCTCCTTGGACCGATGCAGCCTGCAGACCTGAGTCAGGAGAACTGGGAGAAACGGCATGAGAACCCATCAGCAAGAACCAGGGCTGGCTTCCCACCAGCTGGTGGCCAGCAAGTGCCTGCACCAACCCTGTTAATGGGGTTTGTGGGTGATACGGCTTTGAGGATGTTCCCTCCAACCCCGGTGTCCCTTCTTCCCTACCCCGAGGTAACTTCCAAAAACAGGGGAAGCTGGAACATGTAGATAGGCCCAGCAATATCAGCATTGAGGAAGACGAAGGACACTCACCATTAACTGAACGCTGGAACTGGACTTTCTTTTCTGGAAAAACAAGGAGAAGAGATGGAACAGGAAGAGACACAGAGTGAGAAAGGCAGAGAGCGGCACGTGAGAGGCAGCAGCTCCTGAGCCACCCTTCGTGGTCCTCGTGGAGGGGCAAACGAAAGGCGCGGGGGGCAACCTGGTGCTCCTGTAGCAACGTGCCGCTGGCTGCGGTGCTGGTGGTGCCATGCCAGCTCCCTCCCCGCGTTCCTGCTGGCACCTTTCTCTCCTGACCTGCCACAATCTCTGGTGTTGCTCATCCCAAGGACCTGGCTAGTCCAAAAGGGAGTCCCCTAGGAGTCAATGACCACTCTGGTGGCTTTGTGACCAGGTCAGCAAGCTCACAGGAACAGGAGTGGGACGCTGAAAAGCTAAGGCAGCTCCACCACCTGTACAGCCCTGCGCCCACTGTGAGTGCCGTACTGAGGTTTACAGACTGGAGCTGTTCTGGGTGCATCTGCCCATGTTGCTGACTAGTATGGAGACGCTCAGTTAGCTTTGGACCTAGACCAGTACTAAGCTGGCTGGTTTCAAGCCAGCATGGCTATTGCCACTCGACCCCACAAGGCAGACACACCGTGTGGGAAGCTGTCCTGAGCACAGCTCCAGTGCTTTAAATCAGGACAAGTCTCCTCCAAGGAGAAGACCTTGCGCATGCACAAATTTATCTCCATCCTTGATCACTACCGCTAGGCTTTAAGGCTTTTGGGTTGGGTGACCCCATAGCCACGTTTCTGCCTGCAATCCCAAACTACTTCTGGACTCTCCTTCCTTGCTGTGCTCTGCTCCTCGTCTCCATCTTTAATCTAGCCAGAAGACAGGGGGACGTGCAGGCTGGCCTCATGCCCTTTCTCCACCTCCAGCTCCCAGGGGATGAATCACAGCGGGTGACAGGGAACACCAGTGTGCAGGAGTCAGAAGCTGCAGTGCCAAATAACAGTGTGTTTTACCAGCATATTTAACAAGGCACTGGCTCTGCCTGCCCTATAGAGGGAAAAGCAGCGCACACAGTGCAAATCTCTTGGAAAAGTCCATGGAGCGACCCGTTAGGGTGTGTGGGTGGGCTGCAGTGTAAAAACTGCTGATATCCATTCCCCCTCATTGCTCCTTTCATATCCTAACTGGCTCCCACCAGCATCGTCACTGAGTTTCCCCCTCTGCCTGTGCAGCTCTCCCCTCCCTCCCTAGGTCCTACGTTAATCCTCGCCCCTCCTTCACCGAAACAACAGATGTCCTAAAGGGCAGAGCGAGCTGTGGTATTTCGGAAGGAACCTCATGGGAAACGGAGCCGCCAGAGTTGGGCTGTCTGTAGGAGGGGCTGACAGCTTCTGCTACCCAAGGACACGAGACGGGGCAGTAAACTGCAGAAATTTCAGACGCAACAGAATGCAACACAAAGCAGTGACCGCGTCGAGTCTGGACATACAGTAACAGGATGCAACACGGGGCAGTGAGCTCATTAATTTAGGACGGGACAGGATGTGACATGGGGCAGTGATTTCATTAGTTTACAATGTGACAAGATGTGACACTACACAGGGCAGTGAAGGTATCATAGCTGCTGGGACCAGAAGACCTCCCACAGACCCCAGAGCAGGGCTCGAGGGGGATTTTTGGTCCTGTGAATGCTTTTAGTAGGGGAGGAACCTCCTGGGGAGGGTGAGTTTCGAGCCCTCTGAGCCTGGGCTAGCACCACCCCGGTGCTGAAGGGCTGTGCGGGCAGGCTGGAGGGCAGCACCAGCTACCTGCTGCCCACCTGCGTAGCTTTGGGCAGGAACGGCAGGGGTGGCTGCCTGGGACCTGCCTGCTCTCATGAGGACGGTCAGTCCGGCAGGCTTCTCCAAATGGGGACACAACTCTTCCAACAATGAATCACACCACCTGGCCTGACTTACAGCCCTGCTCTGAGCAGGCAGGACCGTTCCCTTCCCACCTTCCCACCCGCCCAAGGCAGGTTTCCAGGTTCCTGCCTCGCTTTTCCAGCAAGATGGAAAGAAATGAACGTTACCCAGCGATGCCCTGACATCTGCCAGCTGCCCACGGTGGGCTTCGCCCGGAGCACCCAGCCTCCCTGTGCCCCTGTGAGTGGGTTAGGCTGTGAGTCTCCCCAGGCTGAGCATGGGAATGAGAGGTGGGATTGGTAATGCTGAAGGTGGCCAACACAAGCAACCTGTTGGGAATGAGCTTGCTTCTACTTTGTCTTCTCCTCCTCTACCTTCCTGGCCATCTAGCCAGGCTGTCTCACCTCCGCTTGTCGGAAAGGGGGCAATAAAAAAGCAAACTCTTTCTCCAGAGCTTGTACACCCTCTTGAGCAGAGTGTTGGCTGGTAGACTGCACTCAGGATGAAGCCTCACTCGCTGCTCCCCGCTCACCGGTGAGGGGCTGAGGACAGGGGATGCAAACCAGCCTCTCTGATCCCGCTCTGAAACCAGACCCTCCTTGCTGAGTTTCAGTGATGGGCCAGAAGGCTGTTTACCCAAACTAGCTGTTTTGCTACAACAGCAAGTGCCCCTCTTCCCAGGATAACGTCTGCCCTCAAAGCTACTCTGAAGTCCAAGAGGGAGCATCATTAGCAAGTTGGGCTGGCAAATGGACTTCTACCACCATACCATCCAGGCAATGCTAGAGATGAAATTCAAGGCTGTCCCTTTCTGCTGGAAAATTAGATTCAGGACCGTGCCTGATGAAGTCTCTCCATCCACCAATCTCTCCTTTTACAGCTTAAAAATGCATCTCCTGATTGCTCTCACCTGTGCTCCAGCAACTCGTACCAAGTCAGCTCTACCTGTGGTGTCACTTCTCAGGTGACTCCCAGAAGCAGCCGGGACCTCAGAGCAGCAGAGGACAGGCCAGCAGTGGCTGGCAGATGGGTTGCTGAGACTCCCATGGGACCTGTCCCCTCTGTGCCAGCACTATTGTCCAAATCTAGCAATCCTGTCCTGGAAGCCACATGATATCCTGACACCACGGCCCAAAGCAATGGGGCCCCATTGCTCTCATAGCAATGCAGGCCATCAGCTTCATGTTGCAGAATAACACTGCATGGCCCGGTTTGAAGGGTCCTGCATGGTCTCAAGCCTTGCAGGCTTGTCCTGTCCCAGCTGCCAGGTCTGGAAGGAGTGGGAGAAAGACAAGCCATCCCTAGACCTCTGGTTCCATTGAACATTTGGACTGAGGAGGGAAGAAGCCAGCTGAGGGCTCGGCTCTTCCAACCCTGCGCGCCCCTCAGCCCCACAGCTGGGTCCCTACGAAAGGGCCAGAGGAAGGAGAGCAGCCGTGCTGCAGTCAGGCTCCCAAAGCTCTGCCTGACACCTTGCACCCCTGCCCTGCGATGGGAGATGTGATCACGCCAGCTCTCCCCCGCTGAGTGAGAGCTTGTATTCATGAAGGGAATAGGTAAGGAGAGAAAGACCCTCACATGGACCATTCCTTCCTGCAGGAGGAGTTTGTCAGAGCTCACTAACCACCACATCTCTGTATCATCAGAAGCAGCTGCTCAGCAGCAGGATTTTGCTGCCTCCAGGAGCCACCTTGTCCTGGAGAAGAGCTGTGGCCCCACCTCAGAGGAGCAGGTGAACCTGAGGGCTCTGCAGCCCAAGAAACAAGGTCCGCCAAGCACCGGCTTGTTTTTAGAGCATCACCAAGCCATTTGCTCTGTCAAGCATCACCAAGTTCCTTTGCTCTGTTTGCCATTGGGCACAGGGGGCCAGCAGCGCTGCCAAGAGGGTTAAAGGCACCCATGTGCCACCCAGCAGCACACCAGCCCTTGGGGACGGGATGGGACAGGAGCTGGGGGGCAAGCCCAGCCCCACCAGCCACAGCGGGATGCATGCTGGGGCGAGCAGGAGATGCAGCCACTCATCTCACCAGACGGCTGCTACCAGGCTGAAGCCGTGGCTCCAGGCTGCAAAGCTGCCTCCCCCTGTCCCCTGTCCCCTCTCCTGGTCCAGCCTCTGCCTCTCCCCCTCCTTGGGGGCAGCAAGGGGCGAGCGCATTTTGCAGGCAATGAAACAGCAGCAAATTCCCCCCGCGCACCCCTCCAGCACCAGCCCGCTCCCCTCGCTCGCCACACTGCAAAGACTCCTGTTCACTGCCTGTCCTGGCAGGAGCCGAGCCGGTGGCGCAGGGAGACACCGGGACAGCCGGGCCAACAGCTGCCCTTTAAAGCGCGGGGTGTCGTGGGGACCGCCGGCACAGCACGGAGACCCCCACCGCCGCCCCAGCAGCAGAGGGGCAGGCGGGAGAGGGCGGCAGGGACAGGGCTTACCTTCACGCCGTCATTCTTCTTGTTGCCACCACTTTTGCCTCCTGGAGAGAGGAGGAAGGAGGTTAGGAGAGCCAGGCAGGGCACCAAGACCAGGAGGCCAAGGATCAGCAGCATGGTGCCAGGTGGCAGAGTGGCAGGGCCCCGCGGGACCAGCCAGTGGGTTTCGTCCTCTCTCCAGCAACCCCTGGTGCAGCCCCCGGGAGCTCAGGGGCGACCTTGCCGGCAGGGTCCCGTCCTACCCCAGTGGCTCTTGGCCAGGGGCATGACCCGTCTCCTAGCGTCACGCCGAGTCCTCGCCGGCGGGGCCGTCCGGCGGCAGGCAGGCTTCGGCCGGGGGGTGCTGGTGACCGAGCGTGGCGCAGCGCGGTGGAATGGGCTGCCCGCCTGCCGTCCTCTAATTTTAGCCCCATGCTGCCGGGATCATGTGCTGCCAGCCCGCCGGCCCAACAGCTGCAGCCCACATTTTGACAATGACGAAAAGCAGACGCCTTCCCTGGTGCCCACCTACCGCTGCCGGCATTGCCGCAGCCCCCCGGGCTGTGCAAGCCACCCCCCCCTGCACCCCCGGAGCAGGGTGGGATCGATGGGGCTCAGCCCCACACGGAACCCCATCGCCCGCCAGCCCCGCCGTGCTCCCGGGCAGGGGGGACCGGCGAGCCCCTGGGCTGTGTGTGGGACGGGCAGCACTACGAGAGATGCTTTTGAATTTCATGCCCTCCGATGCTTTGTGTCTACCGCGTCTCCCGGAGCGGGGCCTGACACCGGATCCCCCCAGCTGTTGGACTCCTCCAGCCCCGCCGCACGCTGCCCACAAGTGCTAAATGTGTCAGCACGATCCCCCCACGACAAATGCAGATACCAACCCTGGCCACGGCCCTCTCCCCCGGCACCTGGCTGGGCCAGCAGCCCCCGTCTCCCCTCTGCCCACCTGCTACACCTGACTCCTGGGGCACCTCGCAAAGCACCCCGAAACACCCGTCTAACACCAAACAGCTGTGTCCTGGTTTCGGCTGGGATAGAGTTAAATTTCTTCCTAGTAGCTGGTACAGTGCTGTGGTTTGGGTTTAGTATGAGAATAATGTTGATAACACACCGATGTTTTAGTTGTTGCTAAGCAGTGCTTACACTAGTCAAGGACTTTTCAGCTTCTCGTGCTCTGCCAGCAGTAAG